TTATCTCTGATAAAGAATTCTGAACTTAATAGTTTAAAAATTCTAGCTTTGTGCAGTGACAATAAACATTGTAGCCTATGAAATTAACTGGAAGGGAAAAATTCAACTATAAAATGAGCAAAAGACATAATAATAAGATAGTTGCTGGGAAAAGACATAGTTATCAAACACATGAAAAGATATTCACAAGTAGTAGTAAATGAGGAAATGCAAATTAAAGTCCCAAAGAGATATCAGAAAAAGTTAAAATAAAATCTAGTGTGATTCCACCAAATGACAGTGAATATATAAAAAATATCTACATTCATATACTAATGGTTGTTGATATGTACCATCAAGTCAGAATCAACCGACCCATAGCTGACTTCTAGCGGGTTTTCAGAGGGAGGGCTTTCGAACAGGAGGAGATTGCCCATCCTTCTCCCATGGAGCAGCTTGTGGGATTTGAAACCTGTGCCTTTGGGATTGTAGCACAGCTTCTTGGCAGTAGGCCACCAGAGCTCCCTTATATTCATGGTCGCAACATAAGACAGGCTAATTCTAAAAAACAATTTGGCAGTTTCTTATAAAGCTAAATATGTAAATTTATTTTCCAGTAACTGCACTCTTTGACATTTATCCAAAGAAATGAAGATCTATGTTTACAGAAAACATGTCCATGAATGTTCATCTGTAATAGCCCCAAACTGGTAACAATTCAGATGTCCTTCAAACTAACTGTGGTACATCCACACCAGTAATTAAAAGCACAAGACACAACAGTGGATAAATACCCTGAAAATGACTGATGTACAACGGTGGATAAATACCCTGAAAATGACTGCTGTTGATAACTTCTATAGAGTCAACTCCCAACTCATGGAAATTTCATACATGAGACCTGACTATTGTGATCCAGAGTTTTCATTTGACTGCTTTTGTAGAAGTAAATTACTAAATCTTTATTCCTTGCCTATCTGTGAAACCTATAGTTGGACCAAGTGGCAGTCGTCAGAACAGAGTAGGGAAACACTGCATGGTTCAAAATTGGGAAGGGTGTATGCCAGGGATGTGCCCTATCTCCATACCTTTTCAACCTGCATGCAGAACAGATTATCTGAGAGGCTGGGCTCTGTGAGGAGAAGTGTGGCTTCAGGATTGGTGGAAGATCTATTAGCAATCTGTGTTATGCAGATGACACAACCCTGCTTGCTGAAACTGAGGAGGACCTGAAACACTTGCTGCAGAGGGTCAAGGACTGCAGCCTTCAGTATGGATTGAGGCTCAATGTCAAGAAGACAAAGATTCTCACCATTGGACCAACTGGCAGCCTCAGGATGGATGGTGAAGAGACTGAGATTATTAACAACTTTAGTTTGCTTGGCTCCATGGTCAACACTCTTGGCACTAGCAGCCAGGAAACCAAAAAGCATATTGCGATGGGAAAGTCTGCTGTTAGGGACCACTCCAGGGTACTGAAGAGCAAGGGTGCCACTCTGGAGACATGCGCCTGATGCAGGCTATAGTCTTTGCAATCACTTGTTATGCATCAGAGAGTTGGACAATGACTAGGGAGAATAGAAGAAGAATTGATGCCTTTGAGCTGTGGTGCTGGAGAAGAGTACTGAATATACCATGGACTGCCAAGAAAACAGATTCATCCTGGAGAGGGTTAAATCAGGCTCCTCCTTGCAGGCAAGGATACTGGGGCTTTGTCTGACATACTCTGGACATGTTGTAAGGAGGAACAGGTCCTTGGAGAGGGACATCATGCTTGGGACGGCATAGGAGGGGAAGACTCTCTATGAGGAGGATTGATTCTGTGACTGGAGTAATCGGGATGGGTGTGTCAGAGGCAGTATGATTGGCACTGGATAGAGCAGGGTTTAGGGCTGTTGTACATAGGGTCACTCTGAGTCACAAGTGACTCAACGGCACATAACAACACCTTAATCAGAAATTCCCCTGAAACGGTTTGAACATCAAAGCAGCATACAAGACTCCTGACAGAGAAATCATGGCTGCAATTGAGATGCACCCCAAAGTGAAGTAAAAAAAAAACAAAAAAACTCAAAAGCTTATATACAGTATGACTCCATTGTATAACATTCTTGAAATGACAAAATTAGAAAACTAGACAGGAGTTAATGACAAAGACAAGAAATCAGTGTCCTAAAAAAGGACAACATGAGACACACTCCTGGTGATGGAAATATTCTGTAATTTAACTGTGTCAACGTGATTGGGCAGTGTTTTTCAAGATTTTACCAGTAAGGAAGCTGGGGAAGAAGTATAACAGATGTCTCTATTAATTGTTATAACTGCATGCAGAGAAACAAAAACTATCCCCCAAAGTTTTAAAAACAATATCCTTAAAAAAAAAAAAAAAACAAAACACGAAGCACAAGGCAACTGACAGGAAATCTAGTAGTGAATAAACAAAGGGTCCTCTTCTCCCTAAATCTGAATTAATACTTAAAGATTGTGCTACCAATCAAAAAACGTACCCTCCCCAAGAGAAATTACCAATGTACACTTGCACACAAATACAAGTACACCCAGGCGGTTCAGAAAGAACAGCTGAGACTGTGCTAAGTACCTGACACATACGTCTAAACATCTGAATCAGAGAAGGAAAACACTTGTCCAGGCTCTACAAAACAAGCTGTGTAACTTGGGACAGATCACCTAAATTGGCTCCTATCACTTTTAACTTTTAAATATGATTAAATTTTAAATTTAACCAGACTAACGGTCTGGGATTCAGGGCCACAAAGAAACTTGTTTATATGGATTACAACCATTGATAATTATAATATAATACAACATGAGAAATTAAAATACATATTTTCAAACACAAGAGTACATAAGGGCGTATTTCCGATGTCATTCCCAAGCACATAGCCTCTCTTTATGCTCAGCTACTAAGCAAACGGTTTGGTGGTGGAATCTACCCAGCACTGGCTACCTACTTCTAGAAGTCACAGCTACTGAAAACCCTATGAAGCGCAAGTATATGCTCAATACAGGAGTCAGCATCTGCTCAACAGCTACTACTGTAGTTTTATTATTAAATAGTTGGGACCACACATTGAAAACCACTGGCTATCAAATGAAAGCACATTTAAGCATACATGTACATATGTGTACGAGAAAGATTTAAATGATATTTTTTAAAAAAACCCACGGGGTAAATCCATCACATGTATTTTTAACGTACAAGGTGTCAAGGTTAAAAGGGAAAAAACCTCCAAGTCGGATAGAGAACAACTTAGGCATCAATCACACAGCTAGGTAAAAAGACCTTTTAAAGAGTTGAGGAAAAGTGAACTTTATCGAGTGAGAAAGAGTTAAGAAGCGTTAACACTGCTGTACGATCATAACCAGTGCATTAAACCGGCACGAAGTTGAAAACCGTTATAGAAGTCATGCACGCACACCACTTTTAAATTCAATTTTCAGCAAAGACTAGACAATTGAAGGGCAATCATGCAAAAGGCTTCCCCACATCCCGGACCTCCCAGTCTCCTCCTCCACTGCTCGCCGTGAGCCGGGAGGGGTCTGCACCCGCGGGGCCGGGGCCGACGGGCGACATAAAAGGAGCGGACGTGGGGGGGGAACGGCGCGTTTTTCGCGCGGAAATGAGGCTGACACACGCCTCCCTTCCCACTCCAGCAAAGGAAAACTGACTGCTCTCCCCGGTCGGGCTCGTAGGATCTTCCGCCCCGGACCAGGCTGAAGGGCGGGGTCCAGGTGGGGGAGGGGCGCAGAGGAGGGGGTCACAATCAGAGCCTCAACCGAAGGGGCCCGAAGAAGGAAAGGGTGTCGGGGAAGAGGACAGGAAGGGGAGACTCGCAGAAAAGGGGGGACAGCGCGGGAAGCAGGCAGCGGCTCCCAAAGTTAAGGAAGTTACGTTCGGATGCCTGGGAAGCGCAGACCAGGGAGGGGGGTCCTCAGACTTGGGGACCTTGGGGGAGGGGACAGTAATGGGCAAAGGCATCCGAGGGACTCTTTGGAAGATTTTGGAGTTAGAATGGGTGCAGGGGAGAGTCTGGAACTCACCGGGTGCCGCGACATTTCGGAGGAGGCCATCGCCCGCGGCCGGAGTGGAGGAGCTAAGGGCGGCACAGAGGCCCAGCCGCGGCCGTGGTCTCGGTCCCCGCGCTCTCCGAGCGGCGCGGTCTGGGCGGCAGAGGTGGAGCCGTGAGGATAGAGGGGGGAAAGGGCGGGGCCCGGAGGGAGGAGGGCGGGGGGGCTGCAAACTGGCGGCGCGAGGGCGCCCACCGAGCGCGGGGTGCTGTCCGGGGCGGGGCCGGCGGGCGGCGAGCGGAGCCGTGCGGCCGAGAGGGGGCGCCAGGAGAGCTGGGAGCGCAGGATTCTAAAGGGCGCGGGGCAGGACCGAGACTGTGGGAAGACATCGGGTCCCTCTGTCCAGTGCCTAATACAGGAGTCAAACCTAGCAGCCTCCGTGACAAAGGCGCGCAACCGGGAAGGGGAAAAGGCCCCACAAGTCGGGGTCGAGAGCCGTTAACTACACAAGTCATTTAGCATGTTGAACGAAGCCCTCCCGGAGGGGAGGTCGGGCCTCTATATTTTTAAAGAATGACATATAAGTTCAGGGTGGAGGGTGACTGGAGGAAATTTGGGATGAAAGGAGGACAAGGGTACGAAGAAAACCAGGCCCCGTCAACCGCCGGTTTAGGACTCAGGGAGCAGGGATTGCGGACCGGCCGTGGAGACCGGAAGTGGGGCGGGGCGGGGGCGGGGCCTTCCCGCCGCGGGCTGGGGGGGCGAGGGGGCGTGCCCGTCGCGGCCGCTGCCCTGGTGAGGGTGGCGGCATCCTCCCTCCGCAGACGTCCGGGCGAGCGAGGCTGGCGGCAGACACAGAACCTCGGCGACTCCGAGCGTGGCTGCCGCCCCTTGACCCGCTCCGGAGTGGCGAAGTGCTCTGGGCCGCGCTCTGCTCCCACCATGGGCCCGGGATGAGCTGCCCGCCGCCGACTGGAGAAGTCGAACCCGGGATGGAGGGGATGGCGGAGCTCAGCCAGGAGGCGGTATTGCGCTTCCTCGCCGAGCGCGGAGGCCGAGTCCGCAACGCCGAGCTGGTGGATCACTTCAAGGGCTCCCTGGGCGGCGAACCCGAGCAGCGGGCCCGCGCCCGCGAGCATTTCAAGCAGCTGGTCAACGCCGTAGCCACTGTCCGCACCGATCCCGCCGACGGCGCCAAGTACGTGCATCTCAAGAAGAAGTTCAGCGCGGGACTCCCGCCCCCAGAGGAGGCCCCGGCGCCCGCCGCCACCCCGGCGTGCCCGGCCAGCCTTGCCGAAGCCAGCGGCGCCGGCCTGCAGCCGCCGGCCCCCGACGGCGCCTCCCTACCCGCCGCCCCCCGGGATCTGCCCCTCATCTCGGTGACCGAGGAGCCCCGCATCTCGGTGACCGAGGAGCCCCGCGATGACGCCCCAGTGACCCCAGAGGACCCGCTCCCCGCGGCCGCTCCCGAGCCCCCGGAGCACCCCGAGCCGGGGGGCCTGAACTCCGGGGACCCCCGGGGTGAGCCGCCCAGGCCGGGGCAGAGGCCGCCCCAGGGCACCGGGGTCCGCAAGAGGAACTCACGCCGCAGCTTGCAGCCGCTGCCGCGGGGTCCTCCCGCAGGACCCGGCGACGAGCTGGAGCCCCCGGGCCCGGGCTGGGAGGAGGCCGAGGGGGGCGGCTTGCCCGGGGCGGCCATCACCCCGAGGTCCACCCGCAAGAACTTCCGAGAGCTGGTGATGGGCAGCTCGCCGCAGCTCAAGAGGAGCTTCTTCGCCGGGGCCGGCAGCCGCAAGGGCGGCGGGGACTCGGACAGCGCCTCCCTGGCCTCGTCGTCGGCGGAGGAGGAGAGCAGCGGCGGCTCGGTGACCCTGGACCCGCTGGAGCACGCCTGGATGCTGTCGGCCGCCGACCCCCAGTGGGACAGCCTGGAAGGGCTGCTGAGCTGCGAGCCCAGCCTGCTGGCCAAGCGGGACTTCATCACCGGCTTCACGTGCCTGCACTGGGCCGCCAAGCACGGCCGCCCGGAGCTGCTGGCCAGGCTGGTCAGCTTCGCCACCAAGCAGCAGCTGCCGGTGGACATCAACGCCCGCACGAGCGCGGGCTACACCGCCCTGCACCTGGCCGCTATGCACGGCCACGTGGAGGTGGTGAAGCTGCTGGTGGGGGCCTACGACGCAGACGTGGACATCAGGGACTACAGTGGCAGGAAGGCCTCTCACTACCTGGACCACAGCATCGCCGAGGAGATCCGGAACCTGGTGGGAGCCCTGGACGAGGGTGACCCCGAGAGCGCCGCTGGCAGCAGCGGGGGGCGCTGGAAGCTTTCCAGGGTGCTTCCCTCGCACCTCATCACCCACAAAATGTCGCACGCCCTCGAGGATGGAGGGAACCATCATCACCATCTGGCGGAAGCCTGGGCTGGAGGCAAAGCGAAGGACTCGGGGCGCAAAGCCCCAGGTAGTTCTAGTGGGCGCTTAAGACCCAGGTTCAACAAAATCCGCTTTCGAACCCAGATCGTCCACACCACTCCCTCACTCCGGGACCTGGAGCAGCCGCTGGAGGAGGAGGAAGAGGAGCAGGCCCTGAAAAACCACTCCTTCAAACTGAGGCCGAAGTCCAACGTGTTTGGGTAAAACACAAACAAAATCCTTTCTTTTAGTCACTGTTACGGTTCATTTGCCTTGAGGAATAGAATACTAGGTGAGGGAGTGAGACCAGGAAAGACTGGAGTGAAATTCTGCACTTGCAGGTTTTGAGTGGGAAGGAGTACCAAGTTTCTGTTTCCTGTACCTGTCTGCTCAAGCTAGCTCAGGGGGAAGTGGATTTCTTGGGACTTAATTTCTCAGACACCTCCATCTGTGCCTCTTTCACCTCCCCCCCTTCCCTGCTACCCTGGAGTCCTTATTTCTAAGGACTAAAAATGTGTCTTCATTGGGGCAAAATTAAGTATTCTGTGCTGTAACCTTTGCCTGAAGTCATGTAAAGAATTTTTTTAATGTTTTAAGTTGGTTACTTTTCCAAAAGCAACATGAAATGCAAATTGTATTATGTGTGAACAAAGTTATGTGCTGCCCTGTTTATTTATGTCCTAATTGTGTTCAGTAAGGTACTACTGAAGGTCAGGTCAACGTGGAAATGCAAAAGTACAAATTAAAATAATGTGAATTAAAGTGGAAACCCTGATTGTATCCTATTTGTGTTATAAGTAGTAGTACAACTTTTTAAAAATCTATTTCCGTTTTAATCACTGATCTGAAAAAAGACTTCTACTTTTGAGTTAGTTTGTTTTCTATTTAACTATATCCAATACCACTACTTTTTTTTTTAAGTTATATTACTACTAACTGTACAATTGTCTTATTAAAAGAACACTCAGCGTCTTAACAGTACCCTCAAACAAGATACAGTTCCCATTGCATATTTTGTTCTACAAGTCTAAATTTGCCAGGGTTATATTTCTGAGTGCCATTAACCATTGATTCTATTCAGGATGGCCCTATTGGTGCTTAGAGTAGAATAGCCTACTGAAACCATTTCTGGTTTAGATGGTTAACAAAACTGGCATAAATGTTAGTAAGCCAATGCTTCTGTGAAGTAATTATTAAATCAATGATTTTCACATAAGGTACACTTTATTTTACTAATAAAATACATTTGTAGTCTCTATACTTTGTACAGAGCAGTTTTTGCAAAGGTTTAAAATTATAAACCCTTTAAACTTTCCAACATTTGCTCAAATCTATCAGAGACTTATGCTAAAGTTACTGGAAAGCTGGGTAGTGAATTCGCCCGGTTAAAGATAGCACTTTATATTCGGGGAAAGAGGTGAGACTATATACTTACATGCTGCTGACTAGTACATCCCTTTCTTTATAAGTGAAAAGTGCCGCCACTATTAAAGACTTCTTTAAGTGTGGCTCTTAATTATATTTCATTCAAATATGTTAAGATAAATGGCTTTATAATTGCTTTGATCTTTAACTCACAGACATATTAAATCTCTTTGTAACAAGATTATAAGCAACTTTTTGTGGGGGACTAAGTTGAACAAGTCTTTATTCCAGAGGCTTTATCCAGTCTCATAATAGCTGACACATAATTAGTATCCTGCAGCCTGTAGAGATAAAGTAGGCGGGGTAACCAACAACCTGCAGAGTGATGCACCTAGGTATGAACTGCACAGGGCTGCAGCATTTATTTCCCAAGTCCAAAATTTGTGATAGGTTTGCCAAGGCTTCCTCTCATTGGCAACTGAATTAGTTTAAAGGTCAATTTGAAAAATGACATAGATTTTAAAAATATTACACATTTGTGTGCCTTTGTACTTGTTTTAGGATTATGAAAAGGAAGCATGTACATTTGAAAAGCACAGCCATGTGTAGGTGTGAAAACTAGTCTAATTTTATATTAAAATAATTTGAAGTTAAAGTGTAGTCATTTGTTGTGAAATCATGTCTGTAATTATATGTAGCTCGTACAGGATAAGCTATAACTTCCCAGTGAAGAATCGTTAGTATCAATGGCACATAGAGCTAAGGTGAACCATAAAGAGTAGAAACTTAAGAACCATCCAGATGTTCTATTGAACAGTCAGTATTAATGTGTATGTTACTAATTGCACAAAAGCTATCGTTTCCTGGGATCTTTACTGATTGGGTCAATACTTTATTTCCTTTTCATAAGAAAGGCTTTAAATATTCTATTAAAATTTAATTTTTTTTTAAAAAAGTTCCCAAAGGAAACTATTTCCAACGTTAGTTGTAACATTGTGGTTGTGTGTGGTAAAATGTAGCATTTTCAGCTGCTTAACTATACATTGTTTAATTTTTCCAATTCAAAGAGATTCTAAAAAGTAAATTATTTGTGTAATTTGGTATTTAAAGAATTGTGCCTACCATTAACAGATAATGCATACATCAGAAACTTGGGTGTTTATTGATATTGTGTGGTTAAAAAGTTCAAGTATGTTTGTCCATGTATTTCTGACAGGTACACTTGAAACTCGTAAATGTCACAATTTTGTTCAATTATATAGTATGTAAAATGCAGCTAGCTTATATAACTTGAAAAGTTGGTACTATTTTATTGTCATGTTTAAAAACGTGGGAGTCCAGAATGTCTTTTATTTTTTAACTAAGTGAAACTTTGAGAGTCTGAGAATGTACAATTTGTTTATAAAGTTAGTTTTGTCAAAATAAAAGATGCCACTAGAATTTTTGTCTGTCATCTTTTGTACTTTTCTTTTGTAATTCTTTATACTTTTCACGTTTTTGTATGGTAGGTTATAGCTCTCAGAATGCTTTTTGACACTTCTACTTATTTGATCTTTTCATTGGTCCTATAACCCTAATTGACAGATGAGGAAATGAAGTACATGGTAGATAATTGTTCAGCCTCAGAAGTAAATAGTTGTTAGTAAGGTCTTCTGATTCAGTGTATTTCCATACTGGGTTCTCATGTTTTTTAAATAGTCAAGCTTTGGAGTAGCTGTCAAAAGCCTGACTGATGGAGATGTCTGCTTAAGGAGAAGTTGGTACTTCTTATCAGTTTCCTAAAACAAAAGCCCTATAGCTCATGCTTAGAAAAAGACATCAAAGTATGAGGTCAAAGAGAAGGACCCTCAGCAAGATGGACTGACTTGGTGATTGTAACAATGGGCATCACACAGATGGTGCAGCTAGGGTAAGTTCATAGTCTTATGATTCTTGATGGACTAGATGGCATCTAACAACATCTCGTGCACATACATCCATGCATCATCTGCCATTGACTTTCCCTACCAAGACTTCAACTTAGGTATGCAAATACCTTTTTCCATTTTCTTCAACGGCCATCAAGCACTGTCACTGAATTAATTTCTTAATCAAAATTACCTTTGATTTTTTTTTTCCCCAAAAAATTCCACTCTATACAAGGACCCTAGAAATATTACAATCTTTGGTGTAGGTTTCCATCATTGGACTCTCAGTGTGCATTACTATTGCTGATGGGTTTTAGTTGTTTCATGACATCTGTACAAAGTCTAGGTAAGGTTAGTTTGTTTCTAGAATCAGTTCTTTCCCTAGAAGTATAGATCTTAAAAGGATTCATTCAATAGTGCATTTAAAGATATCTTTGAAAATTTTCCTGTGAAACAGTATTTTATTAAATCACAGTATTTGGGTTTAAGTACCAAGTTAGTCCAAAAACTCGGGATTTGCTGCAAAAGTTCCTTCAATGATGAGTCAGATTTTATATTAGAGGGCTAGAACCCTATATGCGAACCATGTTTGTGTAGATACAGTTGTTGTTGTTATGTGCCATTGAGTCGTTTGCGACTCATAGTGACCCTATGCACAACAGCCCTAAACCCTGCTCTATCCTGCGCCAACCTCACTGCCTCTGACACACCCATCCCAATTACCCCAGTCACAGAATCAATCCATCTCATAGAGGGTCTTCCCCTCCTGCACTGTCCCTCCACCCTCCCAAGCATGATGTCCCTCTCCAAGGCAACATCTCCTGGCAACATGTCCAAAGTATGTCAGATGAAGCCCCAGAATCCTTGCCTCCAAGGAGTAGCTTGGTTTAATCCTCTCCAAGATGAATCTGTTTGTTTTCCTGGCAGTCCATGGTACATTCAGTACTCTTCTCCAGCACCACAGCTCAAAGGCATCAACTCTCCTTCTGTCCTCCCTAGTCATTGTCCAACTCTCTGGTGCATAACAAGTGATTGCAAAGACCATGGCCTGTACCAGGAGCACCTTAGTCTCCAGAGAGACACCGTTACTCCTGAGTACTTTAGAGAGGTCCCTAACAGCAGACTTTCTCATCGTGATACGCTTTTTGATTTCCTGACTGCTGGTGCCAAGAGTGTTGACTCTGGAGCCGAGTAAACTGAAGCTGTGAACAATCTCAATCTCTTCGCCATCCATCCTGATGCTGCCAATAGGTCCAGTGGTGAGAATCTTTGTCTTCTTGACATTGAGCCTCCGTCCATACTGAAGGCTGCAGTCCTTGACCCTCTGCAGCAAGTGCATGAGGTCCTCCTCAGTTTCAGCAAGCAGGGTTGTGTCATCTGCATAACGCAGATTGTTAATAGATCTTCCACCAATCCTGATGCCACAATTCTCCTAGTAGAGCCCAGCCTCTCAGATAATCTGCTCTGCATACATGTTGAAAAGGTAGATACAGTACTAACGTTTATACTTCTTTTGCTTTTTTGTAAACCCCCCCCACAAAGAACATAACCTTACTATTCTCTTCTCCTTAAACTTCTCTTTTAAAATGTCCGCTTCAGCTAGGAAGTGACTTCCATATTGTTAGTAACTGACTATTTTGTGTATTGATGAAGAATGTGTGATAAATCCCCCTTAACAAACCTTGCACACTGAATAAGTGGGATTTTTTTTAACGTAAAACACTGAAAAAATGTTTAGTAGCCTTGCATTATACACTTGTTCAAAAGCTTACATTTTTTGCCAAGTGAGTAAAGGTATTTTTCATACCCTGTGACTCCTAGAACCCAGTCAACCACTTCATCTGCCACTCAAAACAACAGCTAATCTAATCCTAGAAGTAAAATTGCCTGTGTTGAAAGTTTATAATTGATTGAAGAGATTTTTTCCAGAGTAAATTTGGTTATAAATTGTGC